TTGCAGGGTATAGTTTTCTTGGCTGGCAGGGTTTTTTTCTTCTAGTATTTTCTCATCCCATTTTCTTTTTGCCTGCAGAGTTTCAGTTGAGATGTCTGCTGTTAGTGTGATGGGAGCACCGTTAGAAGTGACTTGATGCTCTTTTATTGCTGCTTTTAGGATTGTCTTTTTGTTTTTGAGCTTTGCAATTTTGGCTATAATGTGTCTTGGAGAGGATCTTTTTGGACTGATTCTGTTTGGAGATCTTTGGAAGTGACTTGATGCTCTTTTATTGCTGCTTTTAGGATTGTCTTTTTGTTTTTGAGCTTTGCGATTTTGGCTATAATGTGTCTTGGAGAGGATCTTTTTGGACTGATTCTGTTTGGAGATCTTTGACCTTCTTGGATTGAAGGTCTGTGTCTCTCCATACAGCTGGGAAATTTTCTGTAATTATTTCATTGAATAGATTTTTAATGCCTTTACCTTTCTCCTCCACTTCTGGAACACCCATGATTTTGGATGTTTGTGCATTTAAGGTTTTCTTAGACTTTATTCATTTAAAAATTTTTGTTTTCCTTTTTTTTTTTCCTTTGGTATGCCTGAGTTGTTTCCTAAAGACCATCTTTGAGTTTGGAAATTCTTTCTTCTGCTTTCTCTAATGTGCTGCTTAAGCTCTTGGTTGTGTTTTTACTTCATTGAATGAGTCTTTCCATTCCAGGAATTCTGCTACATTCTTTTTTAAGGTATTAATCTCTTTGTAAAATTCTTCCTTCATGTCCTGGATATTTTTTCTTGTTTCATTGTGTGTCTGACTAAGTCCTCTCTTATCTCATTGAGTTTCCTTAAGATATTTACTCAGAATTCCTTTCCAGTCATTTCAAGAGTTTCCCATTTGGTAGGGTCTGGTACTTGAAAGTTACTAAATTCCTTTTGTGGTATCATATTTTCTGGGTGTTTTTGTTTTTGTATGTTTGATTGATTTTTGGTCATCTGGTAGATCAGTTATTATTTCTATTTCCCTTGGACAGACTTTGAGGAGAAAGGCTTCTTCCTCTTTTTCCAGGTTCTTTGAGTAACTCTCATTGTTTCATCGAAATCAAATATGCAGTGGACCACCTGCACAGTAGTCATGGATGTTACTGTGGTAGCAAGTCGTTCATGCAGCAGCAGAAGCTGTAGTGGTCAGTGTTGTGGACCACCTCAGCAGAAGCTGTGCAAGGCCTCCCCAGTAGTGGCAACACAGATTTCTGCCATCAGCACAGGCATAGGTAGAGTAGGGTGGAATGCGACTGCTCCAGCTTTCTGCCTGCCTGGGGCCTCACCAGTGTTGGCAGTGCAGGATCCTGCATTCTGCATGGGCAAGGCTCATCCTTTCTTTTCTTTATTCTTTGGTTCTTCTTTCCAAGCTTTTTATTTTTTTAATTTATTTTTAGAGCACTTTTTATCTCCTTTGTTCTCTTTTTAGCTACATCTTTTGAATTATATTGTGTGGTTGCATTCTTATCACAGCCTGTCATGAATTATTATGATACCACTGCAACAAATATGTAGGAAACTTTCAAAAGTATAATTCCATTTGCTGCCCTCCCGTATTTGTGCTCTTATTGTAACATATTCTATTTATAAATTCAGTCACAGTTTGTTATTTTTGTTTTAAACAGTCAGTAGTTTTTAATGAAATTTTAAAAGTGTCTTTTACATTTCTAACCTTAATTTTGAGAATATTTTTACTGGATAGAGAATTCTAGGAATGTTCTTTTTCTTTAATATTTTCAAAGATGACTTTCCATTGTCTTCTGGTTCCCATTGTTCCTAATGAGACATCATTTGTCTTCTTGTTTTTTCCCCCACATGAATGTAAAATGTCTTCTCTTTATCTTTGTTTTCAGCCATATCACTATGATGAACCTGAAGGAGAGAGAGGGTAATTATATAATAAATAATATGTCTCAAATGTAAAATACATGGAACATGCCTGATTTTGAACTTGTCAGGACTGATTCTACTGGACTCAAGAAACTTGGGCTTCATAAAGGAATCCAGGTAAGGGAAAAATAAGTTTGAATACAGCCTCCACATACACTTAACTACTTTCTCATTACAGCTGTTCCTTGAACAACATGGGTTTGAACTGCATGGATCCACTAGTATGTAGATTTTTTTTCAATAAATATACTGGAAAATTTTTGTTTAAGTATGTCATGAATGTATGATATACCTTTACCAAACAGCTAAGTACCCTATCTAAAAGTAGGCTATTAGCAATTAAGTTTGGGGGGAGTCAAAATTATATGATATACCTTTACCAAACAGCTAAGTACCCAACCAATTTTTTTTTCTTTTTTTTTTTTTTTTAAATTTTTATTTTGTCAATATACACTGTATATGATTATTATGGCCCATCACCGACACCTCCCTCCCTCCTCCCTCTCTCCCCTCCCCCCCAAGAATGTCTTTTCCGTTTACTTGTAGTAACAACTTCATGAAAGTATAGTAGTTATATCTTCTTCCCCACCCCCCACCCGGGTTTTTTGTGTGTGTGTCTGTGTGTATGTGGGTGAATTAATTTGTTTTTTTTTTTTTTTTTTTTTTTTTTTTTTTTTTTTTTCCCTTGGACAGACTTTGAGGAGAAAGGCTTCTTCCTCTTTTTCCAGGTTCTTTGAGTAACTCTCATTGTTTCATCGAAATCAAATATGCAGTGGACCACCTGCACAGTAGTCATGGATGTTACTGTGGTAGCAAGTCGTTCATGCAGCAGCAGAAGCTGTAGTGGTCAGTGTTGTGGACCACCTCAGCAGAAGCTGTGCAAGGCCTCCCCAGTAGTGGCAACACAGATTTCTGCCATCAGCACAGGCATAGGTAGAGTAGGGTGGAATGCGACTGCTCCAGCTTTCTGCCTGCCTGGGGCCTCACCAGTGTTGGCAGTGCAGGATCCTGCATTCTGCATGGGCAAGGCTCATCCTTTCTTTTCTTTATTCTTTGGTTCTTCTTTCCAAGCTTTTTATTTTTTTAATTTATTTTTAGAGCACTTTTTATCTCCTTTGTTCTCTTTTTAGCTACATCTTTTGAATTATATTGTGTGGTTGCATTCTTATCACAGCCTGTCATGAATTATTATGATACCACTGCAACAAATATGTAGGAAACTTTCAAAAGTATAATTCCATTTGCTGCCCTCCCGTATTTGTGCTCTTATTGTAACATATTCTATTTATAAATTCAGTCACAGTTTGTTATTTTTGTTTTAAACAGTCAGTAGTTTTTAATGAAATTTTAAAAGTGTCTTTTACATTTCTAACCTTAATTTTGAGAATATTTTTACTGGATAGAGAATTCTAGGAATGTTCTTTTTCTTTAATATTTTCAAAGATGACTTTCCATTGTCTTCTGGTTCCCATTGTTCCTAATGAGACATCATTTGTCTTCTTGTTTTTTCCCCCACATGAATGTAAAATGTCTTCTCTTTATCTTTGTTTTCAGCCATATCACTATGATGAACCTGAAGGAGAGAGAGGGTAATTATATAATAAATAATATGTCTCAAATGTAAAATACATGGAACATGCCTGATTTTGAACTTGTCAGGACTGATTCTACTGGACTCAAGAAACTTGGGCTTCATAAAGGAATCCAGGTAAGGGAAAAATAAGTTTGAATACAGCCTCCACATACACTTAACTACTTTCTCATTACAGCTGTTCCTTGAACAACATGGGTTTGAACTGCATGGATCCACTAGTATGTAGATTTTTTTTCAATAAATATACTGGAAAATTTTTGTTTAAGTATGTCATGAATGTACGATATACCTTTACCAAACAGCTAAGTACCCTATCTAAAAGTAGGCTATTAGCAATTAAGTTTGGGGGGAGTCAAAATTATACATGGATTTTGGAATGTGAAAAGGGTTGGCACCCCAACCCCCATGTTGTCCACAGGTCAACTGTATATATGTACTCAGAACCAGGATGGATTCTTTATTTACATTACCATGAATATAAAGGGCAAGCTGTATTAACTTACATGAATTTAAAATGTTTTAGACCTTTTTTGGATAAATCTGATGTGCTTATTCTGGCTTCAGTAAAGAACTTTGCATATACTATTGTTTCTGCCTTAAAACACTTCCTCTTCTCCTCGCCTGGCCGTCTTGTCATCTCAGACCGTGGTCTAATATCACCTCAGAGAGGCCTTCCATGAACACCTTATTTAGAATAGCCCTCTGTGCCTGTCCCTGCCATCATATTACTCTGTCATTCTCACCTTCCCAGTGCCCTTACCCTGTTCCACTTTTTCTTTATAGCGCTCACCCCTCCTCCTAACACACTATTAAATGTTCTCATGGTTATTTATTGCTAATTGTCTGCCTTCCCTCCTCCAATAATGTAATCTCTATGAGTGAGAAATTTTTGTTTATCTTATACAGTGACGTATGCCAAGCATTGAGAATAAAACCTAGCTTATCGCATGAATTCAACAAATATTTTTTACATAATGACTACAGATTTATAATTGATAATGGACATGAAACAGGAAGGCTTACATGGCTGAAAATTAATGGCAACAATGAAGAGAAAGTACATGATTTTAAAGTTGGGCTGGAGGGAGGTGGAAAGGAAGAAAAACACAAAAAAAATATGGTTGGGCTAGGAGTTCAGAATACGGCTAAAATTACACACACACACAAACCTTTAAAGACTATGAAAGTATCAGCAGATGGAAAACTTGATCAAGAAACAGAAATAAGTAGGATATGAAGACATGAAGCCAAAGATCAGAAAGAATGATTATGGAAAAATCCTTTACAAATTTTCTGCTTCTCAAAAAACAAAAAAGACACAGGTCATAGAACTTTAGAGATAGAAGGACCCATGAAGTCCTTGTAACCCAGCACCTCATATCACAGATAAAGAAGCCCATGAGAGAGCTTCACGACTTGCTTGAGGTCAACAATTAGCGCATGGCAGAGCCACAACCAGACTCCAGATCTACAGAGGCCCAGGCTAGTGTCGGATCAATGTGTTACTCATGTTCCATGAGATCACTCTGGAATGAATGTCTTCCTTCAACAACAATCACTGGGGAGATTTTCAGGAACATAACATTGATAAGTTCCTTTGAGTGTAGGAAAGGAATGAGGATACCTGCCTGGAATCCCCAGACAACCACTGCCTACAGTGACCACACGAGGAGTTGTCCCTTAATTTGCCGTAGTTGATTGACTGTGGAAATTCTCCTCAAATATTTTCTCTAGTTGAGTTCAGTTCAAGGATAACCACTGGGGACTTTCCTCCTCTTTGGAGACCTATTAATTTCAAAGAGATTTCATAAAGGACACTAAACAATCTAAGTCAAGCAAGACTGGACTCTGTGAGTACACGTATCAGAATCTGTTTTCTATCATTGATAAGGACACAGGTCTTCTCAGTCACAGCTTGATTTCAGATTTTTCCATAAGATCATTTTTTCAAAGTATGTACTTTTCACCCTACTGTACCCTGACCACAAATTTCTAAGAAGTGTCTCTTCTCCTGAGTATCAGCATACAAAGAACCCTTTCCCACTGTCATCTGGATATCATGAGGGTATCATACACTGTCTACCTGCCCTCTCCAGGAGGTGCTACACAGTATGAAGTGAATGGACCCTCATTCCATTTTATGCTGTAAGAAGAAAATAGATAGGATCTCCCTGGGAGAGCTCCCTCTGTCACCTACGGCAGAAACTCTTAGCATCTCAGCAGAAAAGTAAACCTACCTTTTAGGGAATTTCCTTAGGTGGTTGATGGAAAGAAGCAAAGTTCCAAAAGGTAAGGGAGCATCTTAAGAAACTTAATCTCTTTAGTTGATTTGATTTTGATTTTCTTTCTAAAAATGATCATAAAAACACAAATTTCTGTAATGCTTTATAATCAAAGGAGAATAGTCATATATATCAATATTGAATTGTGAACAATAAATGAGTTACCAGAGTAGGTATTACTATCCACTTTCACAGACACAGAAAAGGGCACTCTGATAAAAGGTTGAATTGCCCAGCACCACATATCCCATAGTTTAAATCCAGGATGAAAATCAAGTCTTTTCCCTTTTCTTTCGATGTTCTTTCCATGAGGCCATCCTAAAGAGTATGGCATGGAACTCACTTTTTTCAAGCATCAGTTTGATAAAATTATTCGACTATAAGCAGTTTAATGGTAGTATGTGAAAAAAATGTATTACATAATAAAATAGAATTGGAGAAATTTTGAGGTAACATTAAGCTGGTTGCTTTACATCAGGGCCTCACAAAACATTATTGTGCTAATATGCATTGTGAATCACTGAGAGAAAGTGTGAATGTTTTCAAATTTGACTGCAAAAACGTTCATTTCTGGGCCTCATGAAGAATATGTGTTCTATGTAACACAATTAGAAATTAGTTGCTTACAGATGCTTAAATTACTTTCTTATACATTTGTTCTCTCACAAAACTGAAATTGGTGATCATGCCTTATAATTATCTTAGATTCCTCCACATAACTGAGCCCAAGACTTGAGATCATAACAGATACCAATTAATATTTGCCTGTCTGGTTAATTTATTGATAAGATACAGTGGCCTTATAGTTGAGAAGATTTTCTGGAAGTTCACAGAAGGAGCACCTATCACTTAGAGTTGAGGAAAGAGGGGGGTCAGGGAAATATGATATCTGAACTGAATTCTGAAGGAAGAGTAGGATGTAGCTAAAGAACACAGAGAAGAGTGTCCAAGGCAGAGAAAATAGATGATGCAAAGTCTCCAGAGCAAGAGAGACTGTGGCAAGGAACTGAAAATGGTTTGGTAGAGATGTGGCATGGAGTGCAATAAGGAGAATAGGAAAAGAATATCTACTAAAAGTCGGGCAATGCACCTTACTGTTAATCCCCACAATAATCCTACAGGGTAACTATATTATATCCTTTGTAGATAAAAATCTGAGATTCACAGAGATTCATAACTTTGTCCATGGTTAAAAACCCAGTGAATGGCAGATCTAGGACTCACATTATTGTTGAGAGATCAAATGTCTCCTAAGGGTGTAATTAATTTGGGAATGGCACAGTGGTCATTTGCCATTGGGGAAATAATTTGGGGCAGGAAATGTTTTGGAGAGTTCTCAAATTATTCTACAAAAAAACTTTGTCTCCCTTGCCTATGTGCATAGCACCAAATTAAGTTTGGCATTTGTTTTGGCTTCATTGCCAGAATCGTACCAATGTGCCTGGCTGTTTGCACTCTGTCAGCTAAGTTGCATAGCCTCAGATGTAGAAAAAAAGAGAGATATTTTGAAGGTGTGTATGTGGGTTCCACTCTCTGCTAACTAATCCAATAGAATATGGATTCTGGCCTTGGATATGCCAATAACTAGCCATATGTCTTTGGACAAGGTTTAATTTTGGTGGACCTCAGTTTTTGCATGTAGAATATGAGAAGATAGATATTAGCATTACTAGATATTATTTTAGTTCCCTTATAGTTCCCAGATGTAGAGATTCAATTTTATATATATTTTATAAATAGCATACACTTGACCTATGACTGGGCTTTTCTATGATTTCATGGATCCTTGACATTTTCAAGTGTTTTGGTTTTATACGTACAGTGTTTATGCATTAGCAATATGCATACATTACATATTGCAATACTGCCTATCAGCCGCTGAGGAATAACTGCTATCTAGGTAAGTTTCCCAACATTATAAAACTTATTGGTTCAACAAGTGCATCAATAGTTTAATTGCTGTGCTTCCCACTGTCCATTTATCAACTAAATCCATCTCACCCAAGTTCTCTTTTATTGCATGTGGCAAACAAATATAAACAACGCCGAAGAAAAGC